CTCCCCCACGCACGTAAGTTGTTTAGTGAGGGTACTTATCCTATCCACAACTCATACGGTGTTTTGGGCACCGACTTACTTAGTACTCCATTGAGAATATGAATGGCGGTTTTTAACGCCTCTATCCACAGGCTCAACGGTAAGGTGGAGTAACTTATCATACTGCGCACCATATCCATCAGGGTACGATTGCGTCTTTCAGCTACTCCATTCTACTGAGGTTCGCCCGGTGTAGAATACTAGGCTACTATGCCTTTCTCCTGTAAGAATCTTACAAAAGGTCCAGGAACTTAGCCATATGGGGTATGCCGACCATAGTACTCCCCCCCATGGTCGGACCTGACTATTTTAATCTTTAAATTATGTTGGTTTTCAACTTCTGCCTTAAATATCTTAAATTTATCCAATGCTTATGTTCTTTCTTTGATTGGATAAATGTAGCCATAACGGAAGTAATCATCTGTGAATGTTATGAACGAATCATAACCATCCACACTCTTTACAGGAAACGGACCACAGATGTCTGTGTGAATAATCTGTAAAATTCATGCGCTTCGTTTGGCATCTTTCTTAATTTTCTTTACATACTTTCCTTTTATGCATTCTTTGCATTGTTCTAAATCTGAGAACTCTAATGGAGGAAGAATATCATTCTTAACTAGTCTTTCTATTCTCCCCCTCGAAATATGGCCTAAACGACAGTGCCATAATTTCGACGACGCATCGTGAGCTCTCTTTCGTTTTCTGTTTATATCCGCAGACGAGGATACATTCTCATTGTCGCACGCAACGTTCCTATCATCACATACAATATTCACATCATCACGTAGTGATAACAAATAAAGCTCATTTTGTAAGATAGCAAGACCAACACATGCATTATTAAATGTTATCTTACATTTGCCATTTCCAAAATGGCAATCATATCCATCATTGTCCAAGCATGAAACACTAATCAAGTTTCTCTGTAAAGAGAGAACATAAAGTACATCTCTAAGTAAAAGTGTGAAGCCATCAGCAAGCTCTAGAGAAAGATCACCAACGGCTTCAACATCTGCTCGGACTCCATTTGCAACTTTAACGTGTCTTTCTCTTCTTTACGTAGTCCTCGTCGAACGGAATCTCTGTAAGGAATTAGCAACATGAACAATTGCACCTGAGTCAATCCACCAAGTAGATTTTGAATACTATACATACAGGGATTCATTTATGAACATAATAATGTTCTCACCTTTCTTTGCCATGATCATCTTTAAGTAATCGGGACAATCTTTCTTATAATGTCCCATCTTCTTGCAATAGAGACACTGGTCTTTCTCTACTGTGAACTTGTTCTGCTGAGGCTAATGCAGCATGGGACCCTTTTCCTTTGACTTTGAGGAGGAGTTAGCATTATTATTCCTTTTCTTATTGTCTTTCACATAATTGATAGTGCCACCATTGGCAGCTTTCATTCTCTCCTTCTCTTGCACACACATAGCCATGAGCCTTTCTAAGTCTCACTTCTCGGGCTGTATGTTGTAGTTGACAACAAAAGTGTCAAATTCCTTTGGCAAGGAAGCAAAAATCAGATGGATAAGGAACTCTTCTTTGAGAGCCAGATCCATTGGTTTTAGCTTGGATGCCAAATTGCTCATCCTTAGTATGTGCTCTCTTATGCCACCATTTCCAGAGTACCTCTCTATCACTAGCTGCTTTATCAGCTGGGTAGCATATGTCTTTGAAGAGTTAGTGAACTGACTCTTTATTCTATCGAGGTACTCGGTGACCGTGTCACACTCTGGGATTGAGCCCACAATTGCAGGCTCAATCATGTTCTTTATCACAGCCAAACATTCATGTTGGTAGTGACCCACTTCCTATGCTCAAGGTCATAGGACATCTTTTGGAATTCAAAATCCCTCTCTCTAGTTGCCCAAACGGCATCAGCCTCGTTTGTCTCCCTCACCGGTGCCATAGGCTCAGTGGGACACGATGAGGTGACTACCCAATCCACCTCAGCCAAGATGAAGGCCAGGTCAATCTTTTTCTTCCACTCCGTGTAGTTGTCATCTTTGAGAGTGGAGATCTCTTTGATACAACCCATCAAGTTGTATCCGCCTGAAAACACAATTCATATAGAGTGAGAACATAAATAATAATAACAATTGCATGCCTTGATTCCAATGTTGGTTAAAATTAAAACATACAATATTCTTATACACTAATTCTACATCACCGTTGGGCAGAAATACAATTAATGCATGAAAAACTTATGAATAAACATTATAACATTGTTATTATCAACGTTGGTCAGAAAAATAACAATATTATAATTTACTGACTAAAAATGACTACTCTTCAAATTAAATTCTCCCATTGGTTAGAATTTAATTAGAAGATTATTAACTTTAACATTGCAGCGGAAACATGATTCAATTTAATGAATTTTACCCACAGAAAAATTCTCTTTTCTTAATTTTCTTTAAGCCATTTATCCATTTTTCAGGAAATAAAACTTTTACCGGAAAAAATAGCTTCATCCTTTACTAGTAATTCGGCCCAAACGCGAAACCGGCCCACGGCCCACGGCCGTGCGAGCCCTGTGCCGTGTGCTCCCCCGCGCCCATGCCGCAACCTAGGCTTGGGCCGGGAAAACGGCCTCGCGCCCTCGCCCGCCTAGGCCAAAAGGCGGCCCAGTTTTCTGGTCGCCATTGGATCTGATCCGACGGTCGCACGGCGATCTCGACCGATCAAAACCGGCCCCGCATCGCCCTCCCCGAAACCCTAGCTCACTCTTCACTCTCTGCCTCTCTCTCTTCGCTCTCTCACGCGAGCCGGCGTCAGTGGTGGCGGCCACTGTGGCCGTCGATGCCGGTGAGGAAGACAGCCACCGGACCAAGTCCGGGCTCCCCTTCCTCCTCTTCCTTTCTCTTCCCTTTCCCCTTCTCTTCCCTCGGTGCCGTGATCATCGAGAGAGGACCACGACGCGTGACGGCCGTGGCGGCGTACCAAGCAAAAAGAAGGTAGTGGCGCCATTCACGGGGCCCCCTCGCCGCACGCAGCGCTTCGCCCAAAGTTGAGTAGCGTCGCCGCCGAGCTGCGACCTTGCGGTGGTGCCTCGAAGCAGCTGCTGACGCAATGAACGCGTCGGCGAGCCGGCTGGCGGCTCGGTGGATTCCGCGGCTGTGATGGGTAACCTTCCCCGCGACTGCGGTGGTGGCGACGGCGGCGAGAGAAACCCGGGTAGGTCCCCTCCCCTCTCCGTCCTCCTTCTAGGTTAGGTCTACTCTTGCTACCGACGGCCATCGGTCTAGCTTCGGTGAGCCGCCTCCCATGCCCTTTCCCCTTTCCCCTTCTCTATCTTTAGATCTTGCTGTGTTCTTCTCTGTTCTTTGCCGATTAGGGATTAGGGTTAGGGTTAGGGTTTCGTTAGTGTTAGGATTAACCCGATTCGTTTTTTCTTTTGGTTTTGATTCGAGATCGGCGAGGTAAGCCCCTTCCTAGCTCTTCTTGGGGTCAGGTTAGGGTTTCGGGTTACATCACTGTTCTTCTTCCCCGATGGTTTGGGTTCGGTTGAACCCTCTGCATTTCTGTTTCTTCCCCCCGATTAGGGTTAGGGTTTCAATCCGAGCCGGATCGAACCCTCTGTTACTCTTCGATTTCTTTTCAATTCTCTACCCCATACTAGATCTACACACTGGCAACCTGGCTCTGGTACCATTGTTGAGATCGAAAAGATCATCTAGGGTTAGGTCTAGCGGGTTCTCTTTACTGTGAATGCGATATCGGGAGTAGAGGGACAGAGAGGAATAGAAGAACGTGTCGAACCTGACATCGCAGAGGGAGATGGTCCAGAAGCCGCCGTCTCGTTCGTCGGTGAAGTCTGCGCATGGGCAGCGACGTTCGGGGAAGAGGTCAATGAAGTCGTCGACGTCGGTGGAGTGGGGCGGCGCGGCTGGTGGCTTCCCGTCACTGGCTGCGCCCCTCTCTGATCGGGATTAGGGTTTAGGTTTCGGTGGGGAGCTCGGCTCAGGCGAACCTCGTACTCAGAGCCGCCGGCCCCCACCTCTATATATAGCGCAGTGTGACAGGGGGGCCTCCAGCCATAGTGGGCTGGACGCCCCCGATCAGGGCGCGGATCAAAGGCCCAACTAGGTCGTTGGGCCCAGTTTGAGATTAGAGATCAATCTAACAGGTTGGCGTTGGTGTCCATGGCGCCGGAGAGCGAGAAGCAATGGTGGACAGCGTTGCCGGAGGCGAACGGCGGTTGCGGAAGAGAGGCGAGCAGGATCAAGTTGCGTCTATTGATACAATGTAGAAGAGTAGAATAGGGCCAACAGTTGTTGTATTGCAGCACTGAAGGCTTATATACATGTTACAGTGGTGTGCACAAGGAGCGCACGGGAGCATGCCGTGGGCGACGTCGTGGTCACCGCGCCAAGCCTATAACTAGCTCTACCAAAGCTGTATACATCTCAACACTTTTTTTCCCGTGAGTCTGTTGTTTATAGATCATGTACATGTGGTGCTATTTGTAATCAATGGACTTTTTATTTTTTACAAAAACAGAAACTGTGGTGCTGCGGTGCTGCCTGACATCAATGAACCTTCATATTTTTACAATGCACTTCATGCACAGGCAAGCAACACCATTTCTTATCTAGCCAAAGCGCTTCATGTACATGTGCTGCTGCCTGTCATCAATAGAGTTTTATTCTTACAAATATATTCTTCCTTAATGAAATGTCACTGCAATGTTCGAGAAAATATTTACAAATAAAGAAATTGTATTGTTCCGAGAAAACCTTAATGAAATGTCACTGCAATGTTAGAGAAAATATTTACAAATACAGAAATTGTATTGTTCCGAGAAATTTTTTACAAATATTAAATATAGAAAAGTTGTGCTTATTTTGCATTTGCTGAAGTCGTGGTCACTGAGGCCAAGCGATTTTGCTGTCAACTTCATTCCTCGTCAAGACAAAATGCTGCCTCAATGGCAGCTGAACAGGCAACAACTACTGCTGTGAGCTCTGCACTTTGGCTTTCAGCGCTTCAATAACCGCCGAGAAGTCGTGGTCACTAAGGCCAAGCGATTTTGCAGCCTTGTACAGCTCGTTCGCAGCTGCAACTGTAGGAATGGACTGGGACACTGATTCCGCCAGGGCCAATGCGAGCCTCATGTCCTGCCATGAGTTGGGGTTTGTTTCATTATTGTCAAGAGCTCTGCTCAGTCGTGATTAGGTCCGACCAGATGCAAATGAAACTGTTCATCAATGCTGAATTAATGGACAAGCAAGTAAGTGCTACCTTTTGTTGATGCTTCAGAGGAAAGGCAGTAGCATATGCAGCTTTAACCATGGATGGGCCCTTAAGGGAGAACATGGGGGCACTGATAGCACCCTGGGAAATAACCTGAAACGACCAAAGTACCCTAGATTAGATTCCCTCTATATCGGTGTTTCACTATTTAATACTGCTGCAGTGTTGAGTTCAGATTATTTTTGTTTCTCTTTCGGAAATTACCTCAACAAGAGTATTAGGGTCTAAGCCGACTTTTTAACTCAGGAGCAACCCTTCTGAGAAGGAAACCATCATGTTGCAATATTTCAGCAAAGGAACCAGAACATTTAGTGACAATATCCAAAGGTTTTGCTCAAACATATTAAGAATGCAGTAGATAAGGAATGATTTTGTGCCACCTCCCCATGACCATGTTAACCACAAGCTTCATTGCCGCACCATTGCCTACATCGCCAAGATAAAATCTTGACTGGTTTCAGAGTGAGGCGGAAAAATTAGCGCATTTTCTCGATCTAGAATGTGGTGAGGGAAATGGTTCTTTGCAGATACGAGATTAACCTTCCCCATGACATCAAGGAGGGGCGCCACTCTCTTGTACAAGGATTCATCACCTTGGTGCAGTAGTGTTTACAGTTTCAGATAACAGAAAAGGGGCTTTTTTGTGTTGAAAGAAACATAAAAGGGGCTTTACAATTATGATCATGGAAGTGGAAGTTTACCTGCGGTAAGAAAGATGAGCAGTCCATCTTCTGCTGGCTTTTTCGAGCCTGAAACTGGAGCCTACTGAAAAGTTATCTAGTTAGCGCTGGAGCAAAGTACAAGCATTGCAATTACACTTTTGATGAATACAGTGGGGCAAGCAGATGAACAGTTTCATTGTACAAGATGGGTCTGTAAACAGTGGCAGGGGCCAGGGGCCAGGGACTACCTCAAGGAAAGATGCCCCGCTACTTGTAATGCGTTCAGCAATCAGCTTGGATGTAGCACCATCAACCGTCGACACATCGACATAGCTGCAGGTAACAGGCAAGAAGATAAGAGAAAACAATATATAGTTATGCGTCCTCACATGCTCCAGGCAAGCTCTCTGATGCATCATTGTTCTTCAGAGGCAGGTTAGTTAGTTAGTTACCCTTTCTCAGGGGCCAACCCTTCAGCCGCTCCACTGGACCTGCATGCAACCTCAGCCTGTAGTAGGTACATATCGTCACAGACATGATTGTGTTTGTCATGTGAGTTTTCATGAACAGAGAAGACTGCTGTCTGAATCTGAATTCTGGAATGAAGCACATACCGCGCTTTGTGGATCAGCGAGCATCGCGAATGTCACGTCACAAGATGAAGCGACTTGGGCCGGTGAAGGCTCGTACCTGGAGGTCGCAGCAATGCATGATGCACATCTTTTTTTATATATATTTTCAATAGAACACTGCTTTTGTTGTGGGTCAACATGAATAACAAAATGACACTATCTAGCCATCTAGGTGGTACTGAAAGGAAATTCATTGTAGCTGTAAAGGGCTTGGTTCCTCGATTTGGAATGTTTTTTTTAGTGGAATTTCAGCAGAACATAAGAGTCTTTCAAGGAAATTAAGAGTGAACAACAAGGTGGACACCGAGGAAGAAATGTTCATGGTGAACCACGAAATTGGGCCTCTGCAGGGTCCTGACCGAATTATTTATCAGGAAATCCGAGGTGTGTCACATTTCAGGAATTTGCACGCGCTTATTCATACGGACCACTACCACTACTAGTATGCATTGAGGAAAATAGGTTGCTAATTGGGTATGCAAAGACGAAGTTGAAAACGAAACGGAAGGCATACTTGGCACCGACGCTGAGGAGGGGATCGCACTTGCTCTTGGTCCTGTTCCACACCGTAACGTCGCAGCTGACGAACACAGAAACCAAAGCTACATACAGCGGCCTGCCATGGCTGCCGCTGAGAAAGCAAAGGGAATGAATGTTACCCTGCGTTGATGAGGTTGGATGCCATGGGCGCGCCCATGATCCCGAGCCCCAGGAAGCCCACCTTCCCCTGGAACCCGACTCCCCCACCACCTGCGAAAGCCGCCCAATCAGAAACAAGCGGTGAGCAGGGGAGCTCTGCATCATCCAGCGATATGATGCCCCACTCGTCTCGTCGCCTACGCATGCCGCAGCAGGACTAGCAGCATGGCAGGGTCGGGTCGGGCCGCGTCACGTGAGGCGGGCGCACCTTCCCTCACCCCCACCCCCCCGAAAGGACGAGGATGCTGAGGCCGCGGCCGCGGCCGCGCGGGACACGACGAGGCAGCGGGACAGCCTGCGCGAGGGATGGAGCAGCGCGGGCGCCGCCCTGGCGGAGAGGAAGGCCGCCGCGGCCATGGCCGATGATGGCTGATGACTGGGTGACTGGGCTGCGGCCTGCGGGTGGTGGGATGCGGGGCGAGAGGGATAAGCTGCCACGTGCGCCTGTCGCTTGGATGGACCCTTGAACGAATTTGAATGATATGGAAAAATGCTGGAGAAATATGTAAAAGAAAAATATTGTTTCGGATAAAAAAATAAGTAGATAAAACTGAATTTAAGGGCACGCGAACAGGGCCTTTACCGTTGGGCGGGCGGCCTCGGGGCTTGCGCGGGGTGGGCCGATCTGGGCCCTCCGGCTGACGGAGGAGGGCAGGCGGCTTTTCCTGTCTGGGCCGCCGTGATTATTCCATTTCCATCCGGTCGTCCTCTGCAGCCTTTTGCTCCTCGGCCGATGATGATGATGGCCGTGATGACACGAGAGAATGAGGATGCAGCAGCATGGAGATGAATGTTATCATGCGGCTCAGTGGCTGCACGGCCTGTCTGCTAGCTGCGCCGTGCTGACTGGTATTACGATACGAGCATGTGCACGTAACACACTAGGGGATCGGAGCACGGGTCACGTACACGTTTGGGCACCAGACAGATATACTGCTACGTACGGAGTATATAATGCAACGAATTGAATTGAATGAGTATGAACTCTCTCTCGGCCGTCGGCGCTGGGAGGCACACGCGTGCGTTGCGTTGCGTTGCGTACGTACGTGCCTTCATTTACTTGGCAGCGGGGAGAAGAATGAAGTGAGGTTCAAGACAAAATCATGGTACGTGCAGTGTGTAGTACCGCTGCGAATCTGTGAGATGCCTAGATATATAAGTAGCTTTATTTGCAAAGATGCTCACGAACGATGCGATCCTCTTTTTTTTCGGCCCTCTTTACTACACGGCTCCTCTCCACCTTCCATGTTGAAAAGCACATCACATAGGCGTTTTATTTGTTCTCTCATCAATTCATCATACGCCTCGGGTTCCTCTCTTACTACCGCATGCCGGAAGTGCTGTACAGTTGCTTTGCCACCGTCATCCTCTTCTCGTGCTAGCTAGCTGTGTGGTAACTAATTGAATACACCAGTTGTTAGCTTCTCAAATCTCAATATAATGTATTTAGTATAACATTCAGCCAATCAGGGAGACAAACGAAATGCAATGCAAATTACCATCTCCCTAGGATAGGCTGATTTCCCTGATTTGTACGTACAGACATGAGGACGACGGTACCACAGCGGGCGGGCTTATAATTATCGCACACTGTGGACCGGGCCGCACAGGCGTCCTTGACGCAAGGGTTGGCCGGTGGGAGTCGCCCTGCTACTGGCTGCATCCACCCTGGATGGCGTCACCAAAAAACTTACCATGCATTTGTCTAATGCTGCATGTAGATGTAGATATATAGTATTCAGTAGTTGTTAATTAACAACTGGTAGTAGAGTAGTAGGAACTAATAACTTTGTTTGTAACGTACATGTTGGAAGAATACCTGACAATCAGAGCCTCCCTACGTCCGATCCGTATAATAATCTACCATATACTGCCACTTACCCAACCCCACATGCCGTCCACCATACGAGGAGTACTCCTGGAACTATATAGCTCATGGTCTCTCCAAAGGACAAAACTGCTGTCATTAGCGCTGCGAGCCCAATAGTCCACGGATGAGTACATCCATCATCCATAGATTGATCAACCTCAACATCATGCTCCCCTTTTTCTTTTCTTTTCTTTTTTCATTCCAACACAAGAAAGTCTGGATTGCTTCAGCAAGAGTTCCAGAGAAAAAAATTCATTTTGTTCGCCCTAGTATTTATTTGTACTAATAAACAAATACTTATATTCAAGACCACCTCCTCGGCTGTCCAAACGTTGTGTGCCGCTGATTCATTTCCGGCAACCGGCATGTTTTCGTATTGGAGGCTTGGAGCAATGTACGGAACTTTTTTCTAGTATTATACACAACATCTTGCCCCAAACTCTTGTTAACAGTCCTACCAGAGTAAATAAACAAATGAAAACAAAAATGTTACTGCAGCTCTTGTTCAGTTTATTTATTTATTTTACCGAAGAAGAAGGAAAAGGCAGCGTGCAGCACATGGAGAACCATCTTTGACGACCACTGATCAGCCACGCAGCACTGATGCTGCCGTGCCTCCGAGGCATGCGGTTCGTGCTTTGTCGACGGGCACGGCACAGCACAGCAAGCAAAATGTGCTCTCGAGATGACCCAACAGATTGAAGATGGCAATTCCGGCAACGACGACAAGCGCATACGGACGAAGGAATAGTTTTGCTTCTTCAGTGCGCGGAGACAAAAGCAGGCTAGTGAGTAGCAGCAGTAGTACAGATTTGGAAGAGAGTAAAATTGAATCGAAACGCGAACCGGCGAACGGTTAATAATTTATTACTGTAGTACACGAGATGGGAATCCTACTAGTACTACTGTAGTACTAGGCCTTGTTTAGATGCCATTCAAATTTCATGTTTTTTCACTCTCTTTCTATTCGATTAATTTTTAGCCGCTTGTATGGAGTATTAAATGTAGATAAAAAAATAACTAATTATATAGTTTAGTTGGAAATCATGAGATGAATCTTTTGAGCCTAGTTAGTCCACGATTGGATAAAATTTGCCAAATAAGATAAAAGTAGTACTATTTATCGAATTAAAAAAATTTGCAAAGTGAATAAAGCCCTAGTGAGGAAGACACGAAATTGGGTTCCTCGGGAGGCAGGAGCCACGTCTGAGTTTCCTCTAAAATTCGTACGAGGCGTGCGCATTCTGGTACGTAGTACTGTCCTAATGCCAGAATTCCTCCAAAATTCAGAGAATATATAAAAAAAATAGCAGGGTTACCGTTGGTGGCATGTGCTTTTTAGCGAATTTCCATTCCCGATTCCAGCTCCGCCCCATACCCAACCACTAGCCGCCATTAATCACCCCACTTTTTACTGTACTACTACTACCCTCTCTCTCCAGTCATCACTAGTCTCTCTCTTCTCTCTAAAAATTGTGTACTACTACTAGCACTGCCAGTGCCACTAGCATCACTGCAGCAGGCAAGTGTGGAGGTGACGCCCTTTTCTCTCACGCTCTCTCTCTCTCTCTCTCCTCAGCACATCAGGCGGTCATCCCCCACCACTCCAGTCCCCGACACACGTCCTATCCCCTCGCCACGCGGCCGCGACGCCCCCCTCAGCCCTCTCTCCACGTGGGGCCCAACCGTCGCGGTCCCGCGCGTCAGCCTCCTCCTCCAGCTAGGACGCACCCCAGCACGCCCGGCCCCGGATGACGGAAAGCGACCCGCAAATCCATCTATCCACCACCCCCGCGGGCGCGGGGCGGGACGGACGGAGAGAGAAGCAAGCAGGAGGAATTAAAAGGGAAAGGGGGGGGGGGGTTTGAGGAGGCCGACGACGAAATTAGCTGGAAATCCAAATCCAAATCCATCCGCCGTTACGGTTACGCCACCGACAAGCCAAAGCCACAGTCGCATCCCAGCTTTCAGCACAAACCGCTGGTTTAGCTCAGCACTGAAATTAAATTACTTAGTACGGTCAGCACTCACCAGTTTATGATTAATACTAATAATAACTGCTGGTAGATTCCTGCTGCTGGCACTGTAGAGTGGAGTGGGCTATGCAGGGGCGAATTGAACAACGGAAGCATGAATCTATCGTCGGTTATCCATGTAGCGGATTGGGAATTTTGGATGCAAAATTGGTCAGGAATCAGGGGATCGAAAATGAAAACCATATAGACTATACTCCAATAAATCCACATACACTGTTGTCAAGACAAGAAGCAAGAGAAAAAAGAAGTTGAAAGGAAAATTGTCTCTCTACCCCGCCGGCCGCCACCCCCAAAGCCCAAATGGAATCCGCCCATCCATCAAAACGACCAAATCCAGATCTTGATGCGGACCTTACACTTTGCGTCCGTCGGCGTCATCTTCCCGCCGCCACCACCGCTGGAGGAGGAGGAGGACGACGACGACGACGTCCGTACGACCGACCGCGGCGACCGCCCACGCCCACGGCCTCGTGCGGGGGCCGGCGCGGCGGCGACCACCACGGTCGGCTCCGCGTCCGGCGCGGGCGCGGGCGCGGCGGCCGGCGCCGGCTTGGCGAGCCCCACGGAGACCCCCGCGCAGTTGACGCGGACGTTGATGCTCTTGGACTTGAACCGCCCGATCTGGAACCCGACCTTGGCGTCCATCTGCGCGGCCATGACGTGGGACTTTTTGGATCTGAGCGCCGCCGCCTGGACGGGGTCGATGGTGGCCGCGGCGGTGGAGGCCTCGGCGCGGATGACCGTCGTGTTGCCCGCCGGGTGGAGGAACCCCGGGACCACGCCGTCGCCCACGTCCGCGCCCTCGGAAGCAAAGGACGCCGCGATGTCGCCGTAGCGGAAGGCGATCTTGTCGTTGGGGTTCCGCGCCGTCACCGTGAACTCGATGCGGGAGGTGAGCGCGTCCGAGTCCGACACGTTCAGCGCCGCCAGCCGCAGCGACGTCACCGCGAAGGTTGGCGGGCGCGGGCGGTACACCACGTAGAACACCCCCGCAGCGATGGCGCCCAGGAACACCAGGCCCAGCAGCACCAGCGTCAGCCACAGGCAGCACGCGCAGCACCACCCGCGGGCGCTCCGGCGGGGGCGACGCGCCGGAGGGCGCGACTGCGCGGGCTTCGGACGGTACATCGGCGGAGGGGGCACGCGCCCGCCGGGCAGCATGGACGGCGGCGCGGGACGCGGCGGCCCGCCGACGCCGTTCGCGGTGCCGTTGGTGGCGCGCACGGGAACCGGCTTCGCGGCCGGCGCGTACGCCCGGTCGCCCATTGCGCCTCTCCCTCGGATTCTTCGGCTCTCCCCCTGCTTGGGGAAGCGATGGATGGAGATGGAGATGGAGGGGATGGGGATGACGGACGGATGAGTAAAGGAGCTGCTAGCTAGGACTGAGGTGGAAAACGCGGAGGAGAAGAGAGGAGCGTAATGACTGGGACCATTTATATGTGCACTGTTTA